AACTAACTACTACCACCCACCCCCCCCCCCCCCCCACTTTTTGACCAGCTCTATTCAAGCCATTCCTGCACATTTGGCACATCTTTGTGTTGAGAGATAATACAGTAAGGAAAAAAGATACTTGGTAAATTCTATTGGTTTGTGATTTGCAAAAGAAAAAACTACACTTGGGTCTTTATTTGCCCTTTTTTGAGGTATAGGTGGAGGCCTGGGATTTTGACATCATACCTACCTAAAATGATAAAGCTGAACAACTTAGAAGGGACAGGATATGGAGTCAGACTGTTTTTGTTAGCATCTATTTAACTGCTGCATTGATTAGTATTTTGGCTAAAGGATGCCTTTGTTAAACATCCCTAAGACCTTCCAGATATCGTCCAGCATAATCAGGTTACTAGACTATTTCTAAGGTAAAACCATAAGCAGCAAATAAAGGTTTGTGAAAGTTTATGTGCCCCATAAACCAGAAGAGGTACAAACCCAAGTTTTAAGATATGCAGGTTAACTTTCAGTCAAATATACATGTCAGGGGTAGGCAAACTTTTTGGCCTGAGGGCCACATTCAGGTATGGAAATTGTATGGCAGGCCATGAATGTTCACAAAATTGGGGGTCAGAGTGTGAGAGGGGGTCAGAGTTGGGGGTGCAAGCTCTGGGGTGGGGCCAGAAATGAGGAGTTCAGGGTGCAGGAGGGGGCTCTGGGTTGGGGTGCAGGCTCTGGGGTTGGGCTGAGGGGTTTGGGGTGCAAGAGAGGACTCCAGGCTGGGACCAATGGGTGCAGAGAGCAGGAGGGGGCTCAGGGATGGGGCAGGCTGCTGGGGCACAGAGGATGATTGCTTTGACTGGGGGCGCAGGCTCTGGGGTGTGGCTGAGGACCTTGGGGTACAAGAGGGGGCTCTCAGCTGGGATTGAGGGGTTTGGAGGATGGGAGGGGGATCGGGGCAGTGGCAGCGGATTGGGGTGCAGAGGGGGCTCAGAGATGCAGGCTCTGGACCACGCTCAACGCAAGCAGTTCCTGGAAGCATATCCACCCTCCGGCTCCGGGGCACAGCCAGGCGACGTTACCATGTCTGCAGGCACCACCCCTGTAGCTCCCATTGTCTGGGAACCGTGGCCAATGGGAGCTATGGGGGCAGCGCACAGAGCCGCCTGGCCGCGCCTCCACATACTACATAGAAGCCAGAAGGGGGTCATGCCAGCTGCTTCCTAGGAGCCGCACGGAGTGGGGCAAGCCTCTAACCCCACTCCACGGCTTGAGTGCTGGAGCAGGGCAAAACCCCCACCCTCTCCCGGTGGGAGCGGAGGACTGGATTAAATGGCCAGACAGGCCGGATGTGACCCGCAGGCCATAGTTTGCCCACCCCTGCTCTAGGTACTCAATGTTGCATAAGATGATACAGAGCCCAGCTCAGCTGAGGGTAACACTTAGCTATGAACGGGTGACAAGGGATGAATCACTTGGTTACCCATTCTGTTCATTCCCTCTGAAGCAGCTGGCATTGGCCACTGTCAGAACACAGGCTACTGGGCTAGATGGACCTTGTCTGACCCAGTACAGTCATTCTTATGTAACCCTGTTAAACACCATTGCCAGTTGCTGCTACTAAACATCCATTATAAGTCCTAAAGCACTGCCACGTACTTACCATCACTTTTCCTTTTGTAGATGTACTGTTCCATCTGAAAGTCTAGATTGGTGCCTCCCAAGTGGGTTCCTGCAGCGAGGAATTTGAGGACATCCTCCTCCTTCATCTGCAGGACATCGAGACCTCCGGACATTGTGAAAGTTCCCCTTTTAAAGTAACGGCAGGGAACCTGGAACAACAAATCAGTTCACTCTATCACAAACTTACTCAAGTAATTGTGTGAAGTAACAAAACATTGGGGAATCCTAGTCACTGGAGGTTTACAACAGTTTGTACAAACATGTTAGGGATGGTCTAGATCACATGCAGTCACCAGGGACTTTTCTTGCAACTGAAAAGTCTAAAGTAGGACTGTCGATTAATTGCACCCTTAACAACAGAATACCAATTTAAATGTATTAAATATTTCGGATGTTATTCTACATTTTCATATACTGTATTCTGTGTTGTAACTGCAATCAAAGTGTATAATGTTTACAAATATTTACACTGTAAAAATGATAATATAGTATTTTTCAATTCACCTCACATGAGTACTTTGTGCAATGTATCGTGAAAGTGCAACTTACAAATGTAGATGTTTTTTGTTACCTAACTGTGGTGCATGCTTTCAGAAGTCTTCAAAGAGCAACACTCCAACGTGAAAACATTGTGGGTAAAACTGAGCAGAGGACATACAATTCTCCCCCAAGGAGTTCAGTCACATTAACGCTTTTTTTTTTTTTTATTTTTTTAAAGTCATCATCAACATGGAAGCATGTCCTCTGGAATGGTAGTTTAAGCATGAAATGTTAAACATTCATATGCCCCATTTGGCAGGTAAATATCTTGCAATGCCAGCTACAAATGTGCCATGAGAATGCCTGTTCTCACTTTTGGGGTGACATTATAAATAAGAAGCAGGCAACATTATCTCCTCCAAATATAAACAAACTCGTTTGTCTTAGCAATTGGCTGAAGAAGTAGGACTGAGTGGACTCGCCGGCTCTCAACTTTCACATTGTTTTATTTTTGAATGTAGTTTTTTGTACATAATTTTACAGTTGTAAGTTCAATTTTCAGAATAAAAAGATTGCACTACAGTACTTGTATGAGCTGAACTGAAAAATACTCGTTTTTTGGAGTGCAAATTACATGTAATCAAAAATAAATAGAAAGTGAGCACTGTACACTTCGTATTCTGTGTTGTAACTGGAATCAACATATTTGAAAATGTAGACATCCAAAAATATTTAAATAAATGGTATTCGATTATTAACAGTACGATTAATTGCAATTAATTTTTTAATCGCTTGACAGCCCTACTAAAAACACACAATCATAAAAGCAAAAGAAACAAAAAAAGAGGAGAACATGCAAAGCACTTTTGTATTTCTATACTGTTTAGGCTCAGTAAAGAAATAGACAGTACATTATTTTTATTGTATTTGCAAAAAAACCCCAACATAAATAAATAACTATGAACCGCACAGGTCTATGGGCATAATTAACTTTAGGAAAAACAAATAATTATTTTAGGGAAAATTGTCAAGAGCAGCCACTAGCAGGAGTTGGTATCCACATACCGGGGCCACCAAAAATTTGCTGAGAGAGCCAGTGGTCTAGATTTATTTGGTCCTGCCACAGTACAGGGCTTGACTTCTTGAGGCCCCGTCCAACCCTACGTGACAACCCCTAGCGTGGGGGTGCGATGTAAGTAAGGTGGGAGTGAAAACCCGCAGCTAAAAGGAGACAGAAAAGGAACCTCCCCATTCTGCCATCAGTGACTCCTTTGGCTTTTGCTTAAATTACATACAGTGCAGCTGACCCGACCCTACACGAGC